GGAATATAGCAATGATATTTTCGAGTTCCAGGAATTGGTTTCACTTTCTTAAAAATTGGATCAAATTCCGTGTCAGCCTTTTTGTATTCTTCCGTAGAAACATAACAAAATGACATTTTTGTTTGAAGATCTTCTTTACGACTATTTGCCCAGTCGTACAGTTGTTAATGGTTCGTTATAGGGTGCTCGTGTTGCTTAGCTAAACTTGCTCTGGTTGCCATTCTCTTAAGGGTACCGCCAATCACATAACAATGACCTTTGCCGTGTGAAGTTGCAAAAAAATGCCGTTCCATTTCTACATTATGCTTATCTTTAAATCCACAAAGGCTAGCAAAATTTTTTATGTTTTTGTATTGTGATGCTGCTTTATCTAACATAAAAATACACTTTTGGACTGTTATTTGCAACTTTAAAAATTCTAATAATTTTGAGATAAACAACTGAACTGCTACTGTGTCATGCTTTGAAATTGATTTAGGTGGAGGTTTACAACACTTGAAATTGTTATCCATCGTAAAAAACTACTTGCTTTTTAACTTGAAACGCTAAGAGAGATGAACTGAATGGAACAGGTGAAGATCGTCCCAATATATATATATATGTAGCAGAATAATTACAATGTTGACATTATACCTATCTTCATTAGGTACAATTGATTATAGCAAACTTTTTTAAGTGTGAGTGTAAGAAGCCTCCACGGAGTGCCTTTTTATGTAGTTGTGATATCGCGGGATGAGCTCTTAAGGCACAATATGGTATACGTCAGAGAAGTACCTAGAGAATTTATCTCAATTACAGGTTTAATAACATATTTGTTTACCTGTTTATGTTTTGAGCCTCTGTTATGACATACACAATTCTATCCAGGTATACAACTAATAGAGGACAGAAAAAAGGCACATGAGTGGGTTTGTTGATTATTTGGGTATATTTGAGAGTATTTACTTATAAACTTGTTTCTTTTCCGCTGCGTCTAAATAGAAACGGGTAAGTCTGACAGCTACCATATTTGAGAATGAATTGTCTGTTTTTTAATATATATTCATGGAAAAACATCTCGTTGCTGGACATCACGACTAACATTTGAAAATGGCCCAAAATGTAGAAAATTATTATAATTATTTTTTTTAATTGCACTAACTTGAGAACGGCTGGATTTAGAAAAAAAGTTTCTATGTGCAATGTTTTTGAAAATTATGCGTAGAATCCAAATAAATTACTATTTTACTAAAAAATATGCAATTTCACCAACTTGTAAAAACCAACAAAAATTTCAAAAATTATAAATTTTTTTTAAAGAAAGTTACCAGTATACAATCTTCACCAAATATTAGGGCATTTTTTCAGTTTTCTTGAAAAAAAAAATTATAAAGATCGAAGGGGGGGTGTTTTGAGATAATCATCGTTTTACGTTTTTTAGATACTAATTTACTAAGTTTTTCTTTCAGTGTATTTTTTTCCGCAAAGATAATTTAACTACCTAAAACTTCTTCTCATATGCCATTTTGATCAGATCAATAGTTTTCAAGTTATGATTTTTTGAAAAAAAAATAATCCATTTTTTTATACGCCCTTTTCAAAAGTTACTCTGGAGGAAAAAATCATATTTAAATGAAAAATGCAACCATTAGTAGCAGCGAACACGTGAGAAATGTTTCATTCAAATCGGAAACACTCATGACCAACCGGTTTGCGTTTTGGGCTGGAAATGCTCTATATTATTTTTTAATGATATAAGCCCTTTTCATATGGAATTCTCGATTAATCCAAGTGATTAGTTGCTGATTAGACAGAATTGAATCACAAATGGAGCTTCATTGGGTTCTTAGATGATTTTGACCCTCACTGGTTTAGTTTTGTGTAAAAATGGTACGTTAAAAAAATCAGTTCAGACATGAAAAAGTTTTTGTAAGAAAAACTTTTTTTCCTTAAAAGTGCCCATCTCGCGATGTATGGACGGATGGTAGTAAACATAATTACCTATCTTGAGGCAAAGTTTCATCCAAATCAAACATGGCCATTTTTTTAAATTGACTTTAAATTTTAAAAATCGATTTTTTTCAGTGTAGGTCTCAAATGAATTTTTTTTTTCAGTTTTTTTTTTTCGATAATTTGGTTAATTTTCTAAAAGTCATCGATACAACATATTTTTGTTGGAGTTGTCATTTTTCCATGATATTTTTTTGAAAAAAAATCGGCTGAAAAAGTTTGACCTTCTCAAATGTTAATCTAGATACATTTTGGAAAAACTGAGTATGCAAAAGTGCTTATTTAGTCAAAGTCTACACATCCAGAAAATTTTATTGAAATTTGAGAGGATGCTGCCAGCTTCGATTTGATTTGGCGCGAAATGCGTCTAAACTTTAAAATACAATGCACCATCCTTTAAAAAACGCATTACTGCTGCCAGTGTTGAAGGATCAGCACCCAGCATGTTGCGTATGCTATTTGGAAGCCCGTGGAATTCCCGCAGGTACTGATACAGAGGGCATACGCATAGAATGTGCTCGATTGAGGCTGGACTACAACCGACGCAAGTCCAGTGGAACAGCGTTCCACCGAAATTGTGCGAGATCTTGGTGTGGCCGGTTCTCAAACCCGACGCTATCTTCTGGTCCCGCTGGTTCAACTGTTCTGTCAATTTCCTTGTCCCTTTGATCCGTCTGATGAAGAGGGAGCGGTTTTGAGCCCACTCTGAGTCCCAAGCTTCCCGTACTTTGCTTACGATCCACCACTTGACATCGTGTAACGGTACTTTGTTAGTATAGCGAAGGGCAGATGGTCCTGCCCCATCCAAAAAGTCAGCTTTGGAGTTGCCTGGTATTCCGCAGTGCCCCGGAACCCAGCAGAATACCGTGTTTGGTGGCACGGACTTCATCGTCGCCTGTACCCAGGGATGTCATGGCTTGTATGCCGCTGTGCAAATCCTTGAGGACCAGAATCGGTCGGTTGGAGAGCGTTGTAGCAGCGATGAAGATGGCAGCAGCTTCAACAGAGAAGACAGAACTTTGCGGCGGTAAGCTGCAGCTGGTTGGTGGGATGTTTCCGTGGGGTATTTTTCTCCTAACATTTCAGCTACAGTCCTTTTCATGGCCACGGAATTGTCTCCGGCTTTGAACCTGTCCTTAATCCGGCTTTCGATTTTCGGTAATGGTGTTTGTCAGCATTTGTCTCCATGCCAGTGGACCTTGGCCACTGGGGGGAGATCTTCGTTGGCAGCCTTGCGGAGGAGTCTGTTCCCCTCGTCGAGGAGGAAGATCCCTTGATAGACGGATGTCTTCGAGATGAAATCAGCGGCTTTGGTTGCGATAGCATGCAGCATCAGCGGGCGTGGATGGCAGCAGGCCAGAGACAATCCGGACGTAGGTGTTGTAGACTGGTGCTAACGTAGCTAAAAGCTTATCCGTTGCGATGCAGCGAAGATGAAGAAGAAGCGTAACCGGAAGTCGCTCAAGTTTTCCCAGTAGCACTTGAAGCAATGGAAGATGCGGTCAAATCTGAAGAGTTGCAAACGCATTGAACGTCCAATCAAACGACGACCACAATTTCACGAAGATCCTGATCTGGAGCAGGAGATCAATCACCTTCTCAAGACCGGTCTAAAGAACCAAACCCAAACGTTGAAACTGTCTCGATTGATGGTCCGCGCCAAAGACATCAAATCCAGAATCCGATTGTTGACGATCCTCCAGAGCTGAGAACTTCCCCTATCCCCTGTCGTGGTGTCCGATGGGGACGTCGAAGTGCCGTTTTGTATTGATCTAATTCGCTAAAAATGTGTATTTATATTAAAATAAACCTATGGACCAATTACATGCTCTGAATTCTTCATACATAACGTAAGAAAACTTCCCTTCAAATTCTTACGTAATTATTGCATGGTCCTTTTGACAACGACCCATAAAAATATTCCTGAATAAGTATGTAAACAAAAAAAAAACTCGGTCGGTTGTGCAACGGTGTCATACTCACAACTATACCAAATAATACATCCAAAGAAGTAAGTAACGATTGGAGTAACATTTGCCTAGGAATAACCGAATATGTTAAACCTTACCCTAGCGACTATACGAAATTTGCAGTTTGTTTGTGATTCCTTGGCACACACATCTCGGCTAATGTTGCGACATCGCTCATGAAATTGCTACTCCCTGCTTACAGCAAACGTGGAGATCCAGTTTCATTGTTGTATGTTTTGTGGAAGCTGATATTTGTGATCTTGAAATTTCGAGGTGATAGAAAGATCAATCCGAAATAAACGATTCACCTTATATGGCCAGTATCGAGCTAGTGGATGTGGGAAGGGATGCATATTATTTGCTCCTTTTGATTTTGTTTTTTTTTTTATTGAAGATGTAAGTAGATGTTGAAGTCTACACAAGGCAATATTTTAATTTAAAATCATGCACATAATCGAAAAATAATTTAATTCTCAAGTAGACATACGAATTCAAACCGGTTGCCGCAGCGTTGATTCTCATACGAAAATATAAAATATTTCGGGCAAGATAACTTATAGGCTATTTCTTCTATACACTGATAATACCGTTCGCAGCTGGATGATTCCGCTATATAGCCATAGTTTTCAACTCCACTGCACATAGAGGAAGGTTCAGGGGTTGGCGCTTCCGGTAGCTCTGGCAAGTTCTCAAAAACGCAATCTGATTCGGCAGGATTCACACAACGCTGTAACTCCATCGAAAAATACAATCCTTCAGAACAACTTTGTGGATAAGAAATTCCGTTGATGCAACTGTAGTATAGGTAGCATGCGTTTGGACTACGAACGTAAGTTAGATCTGGAACACCGGTGCAAAAACCATTGGCTATATCGACTATGGATAGCATTGAAAGGGTTGCAGTTACAGTAAACTTCATTTTGTAACTCACACGAATGGTCTACCTCACATTCGGAACAGGGTATGATATTTTATACGTTTTTATGGTACCCGTACGAATGGTTCAATAAAACAACACTTGTCACTGTCATTTATTTTCGCCGTCAAATCAAAGAGACACCAAAAGATCAAATTTAACACCGCATATTAAAGCTCTAATCTAGATAAGACAATCAACGTTCTGTTGGTCATCACACATTTGACGGTCTTCGTTGAAATATTGTCCAGGAGGGCAGTAAACTCGATAGCCAATTTCGTTGGCACATACGTAGTAATCGGTACAACTGTCTGGGGCTGCAACTAATATGCCATCTTCTACACCACTACAAACATCCGGTGTTGGAGTTGTTACTATTCCGTGAGGACAGTAGACATCCATTGGGTGTGCACAGTCCTGACGATCCTCGTCAAACCATAAACCATCAGGGCAATGGTGAGGTGTTCCTACCTCGTCTTGACAGGTGAAATATACGTTACAGAATCTGAAAATGATGAACATAACAATGATTGCCTTTACGTAACATAGAGCAGGAAAGCTCACCTGTAATGTAGAATGCTTCTTCCATCCTCAACATCGTCACAGATGTCCGGAACATACGGCGGATTTGGAGGAGGTGTTGTAGCGCTGCAAGTAGTCTCTGAAGGATCTACGCATGCTTGTTGCTCATAATCAAACCATAATCCATTATCACACACCATCGGGAACGGTACGCCAATCATGCACTTGAAGAACCGGTAGCAATAGTCTGGATCATCGATTAAGCCAAAGTTGGGCTCATTTACACATCGATTAGGCGAACTAGGTGTCGTCGATGTAGTCCCCAGATCACAATCGAACTCGTAACGGCTTCCACATCGTTGGTATTCTTCCTGAAATATTTAAATATTCTAAACTCTACCACTATCAAAAATGAAGACATTGCCGCTCTCACATTGAACCAGGAGTATCTTGGACAAGACACCTTGTAAGCGATCTCATCGATACATTGATAATAGTATTGGCAGTTTTCAGTGGATGCTACGTAACGGTAATCCGGAATACCATCGCACATCGGAGATGGAAGTGGAGGAGGAGCTGTCGGTAATTCCGAAGGTTGCTCAATGTCGCAGTCCGATTCTTCCGGAATAACGCACTGTTGCTTCTCCGTTGAGAACCACTTCTCGTCATCGCATCGGTATCCGTAGGCAGTTCCATCGATGCAAGCGTAATAATATTCGCAAGAAATCCGGCTGGCTACGTAGGATAAATTCGGTGCTCCTATACAAACTTCATCGTAGTTTCGTTCTTCGGCGTTGCAAAATGATGCAAATGCTAGTATGGTCACGAGTATCACTCTGGAAACTGAACAACCACTTAGTTCACCAATTTAAAAAAAGTTCGATATGATTCTCACCTCCCATTCTGACGGTTCACTTCTTATGATGTTATGTTACGCGATCGCCGAAATATGGACTTTTATATATAAAAGTTTTCTATCGGCTATTTTGAGTCCAGCATTAAAGCTTATCAAGCCGCATAAGATGCAATTCAATCGGTTCCCACTAATTAGTTCCGTCCGTATTTACAACCCCGTTGGTCATGAAGGCTGATTACGTGGGGAAGTAGTAAATTTTATAGTTGTCCAATAAGGGATATCAAAAGATTATGCAATCGTTAAGAGTTGTTACCGTTATGATTCGAATTTCAGAGTGTATTTTCAATAAGATATTGACATGTATTCAATGTGGCCCCTTAGCTCAGTCGGTAAAAACGCAGATATAAAGTGATATAATACTGGAGGCGGCCAGGTTCAATTCCCGGTCCGGTCTAGAATTTTTTAGATTTGGAAAATGTCTCGACATCCCTGGGCATAGGGTTAGATTGAATTTGTCACACAATACAGTGTGAGAAATTCCTATAAGTGCATTGTCATTTTTCGATCTTATGTTCCATTCAAATGTCAAACCGAAAACATGTATTGATTGTAGTAGACACTCGACCAGTGGGTTATCTTTAATGCTAGGCATTATATTGCATGCCTTAATTTTTATTTAAAACAATTATAACACCTTAGTCGCTAAAGACGCAACTACAAAGCAAGACCATGCTGGAGGTGGCTGGGTTCGATTCCCGTTTGGGTCTAGAATTATTTCGAGTTGGAAAACTAATCGACTCCCTGGGCAAAGAGTATGCACAGGGAGTCGCACAGCATTATACTAATGCAAAAATGGTACATCGAAAGCTCTCAATTAATAACTGTAGTAGTACATCTAGAACACTAAGTTCAGAGCACGCAATAAGCAAATATGCGATAAGAATAAGCTTTAAATGCGAAGGAATTAATATAAGTTAAAAATACTACTTAAATTAGTGTTTGATTTGTTTCTTATTTTCCAGAACTGATTAAACTTGCTGCATAGAGTCAACGTGACTTTGGAACATTTTTAGAGTAATTTTCGCTATTCATCCGCTATAGGCACTTCAACTGTTCCAAACCTGCTGTCTCCCACTATAAGTATACCCATCTTCTCAGGATCCTCCAACAATAATCAATAGGATTTAGATCAGTGGTACATGCTGACCAGTTCAAAGACTGGATATTTTGCAATAACAATGTTGTTGACTCCTTTCTCACGTGAATTGTGGGATTATTCCGTTGGTAGTTTAAATTATGTAAAAAGTATTCCAATATCATTTTGGTGAAGATTGTTCCTATTGCCAAATGATTTTTTTTTTTATTTGTTTTAAGTCGATCTTGTTTTCCGTACTGAAAACCAATGTTACCGATGCCAGGAAGGCAGCTTCCACACCTGGACCCTACCTATCGACTCATCACAACTTATGAACTGGGGACCAATTGGTTTACTTCCTAAGGCGTGATCAGAGATGTTATGTCTCAGAACATCCCGGCGGCGCCGACTGGGATTGAACCCAGGCCTGCTGGGGTGAGAGGTAATCACGATTAACAGTACACCACCGGAGCCAATTTTAAATGATGTATTCTTTTTATCCGAGATATATGTTTGTAAGCTAATATCGATGTTGTCCCTTATGGTAAGGTTGAGATTATTGAATAAATGTCAAGATCTGCGGAACATTTCTGTAACAAACGTAATGCTGTGATAAGAGGATCAAGTTCCAGCTTTGTTTATGACGAGTTGAACTTTCTAGTGTCTTCAAGCTATATGATTAATGTCCGATAAGAGTTTAAGAGTTGGCTTTGTTTTTCTCTTTAATGCTAAACCCCATTTTTCATCTTCGCTATTTCTTAAATTTAATATTCTTCAATTTAAGAGCCAATGTACGATTTGTTTAATCTAATGATCTAATCTAATCTAATCTAACACAAGAACAGCCAGTTCTTGAAAGCATCCTGGAAAATGATCGATATGCCACCATTATTTTTCTTGTATTTTTGATATAGGGGAAATGGATGTAATGTCGGCCTGAATGTCTCTAATTTGGGCCCATATATAAATTCATGAATCGACTAAATTTTCAATAGCCACCAAAAATATCCATAAGTACCATCCCAATGACGCGTTCAACTAGATAAAATTGATAAATAGCAGATTTTTAGCGATGTTGCACATCGAAGATATTACATACCAAAATGACCAGGGCTACTGTACATTTAAGGGGCAAGATGATTAAAAAAACATCGTGGAAATTTCATACCATACGTTCATTTGACATCTAAGAAGCTCAGGGAACATCGTTGAAGTTGAGTAAACTTAATAGAAATTCTAGGAACTTCATAGATCTTCAGAAAAATTTAGAAGTGGAAATTTTTTTTATGTTTGAGGAGCTTTGTAGAAGTAAAGGGAACATTATTTTATTTCAGGGAAGCTCATTATTGACTGTGAAACTCTATAGAAGTTTTGCGAATTTCGTAGCATTTTGAGGAGCTGCGTAAAACTTCATATTAGTGTAAGGAATTATGAAAAGTTTAGGGAATTTTGTGGAAGATCTAAAAATAGTTCAACAAACTTCTAAGTATTTGAAGGATCCTCGCTTCAGTTTAGAGAACTTCGTTGCAGTTTGTCAGAGATTTTGCTCCAAAAAGCTCCATGAGCTTCTTGGAGGTTTTGTGAATTTCATAAAATTTCAAGGAACTTTCCAGATGTTCAAGAATATTTGTAAATGATAGGTGTCTTTCCCGAAGTGCAAAAATGTTTAGAGATCTTCGTAGAATTAAGAGAGTTATGATAAAACATATGGAATTTGGAATAAATTCAGGGAACTTCGTAGAAGTTGAGGAAATTCTGTAAGACTTAAGGGGCTTTGTAAATGTTCAGGAAACGTTGCATAAGCTACAGGATATTCTTTCAGACACTATTCTCTGGACATTTTTCCAAGACTTTAGGTTAATCAAGTTCTGTGGATCTCCAATTTTTTAAACATTAAAATATTCATTCAAGACTATAGGGTGCTCAGGAACTATTCAAAAGTTTTCCAGCTAATTGAATCTGATGGATTATTGAATGATGAATCTAGATTTTATGGACATGTTTGTACATTCTCTATAGGAAAGACACGTGCTTTGATGATATAGCTATATTGTCAAGAATTAGCACTCCAGCAACTGAATTTCGGGTAAACATTTCAACGAAGAGATGGAAATTTCTAAATTCACCTAATATGTAAAAACTTCCTTCTTTTCGATTAAATGTATGCCCGGAATTCATCTTCAGAATAGTTTGTATGGCTTAGCTCATAAAGTTAAATCTTGATTTTAAATAACTCCGGATGTTAGTAAGTGTGATGCATCGAATAAAAAATTGTTCTAGATAAATGATTTATTACTTTCCTTTCTATCAGAATCATGACATTCGATTAGATTTCAAGATTTTTCGAAATTTTTATATCTTAATTTTTTTTTCTTACCTTTTTATCACGAAGAATGTTCCTTTCGAAAAATGTTTTAAGTCTCAGAACCAAGGTAAGTTTCCTCAGATCTCAAAGTCTAGGTCAAAGCTAGTCCAAGAATAAGCTTTTTTAATCCTCGGTTAATGCTGGGTAATGCGCAATACAGATCCCATTGAGATCACTAGCCTCTTCCCAGCAACTCCTATCCCTACCTCCCCGTGGTACCGGCCGGGAACTGTGAGCAACCTTAGGGAAGATCGGGTAACCAACCCCGGTAGGAACTTTGGTCATAGGCTGACAGGGAAGGAATGGGGGGGGGGGGGGGTTTGCTTCGGCAAGCCTGAGCGTCTGTTCTCCAGGAGGAGCGGCTCACAACAGCGTCTGTTCCCATGTTAGGGGCGGCTGATCTACGTCCGAGTACCAGTGAAGGACTCTAAGCCCAACTGTGCACCCTGGTCCTCCGGAAAGTTAGGGGGTTGGTGTCAGGCCCTGCGAGCCAGCCGTAAAAAAAAGCATTGCAACGGAAAATCAGCAACAGAGGAATACGAACCGAGACCAACGACAACGACCCCAGCGACGAAATAGGACTTGCGGTTGGAAACTCGGCACGTGGAACTGTCGATCTCTCAATTTCATAGGGAGCATGTAAGTTGCGGCTTACTTGCCAGCCTATAGCTGGCCCGATTTACCCCGGCGGGGCGGCTACGAGCAGAGTACTTCCCCCAAAGACGTTCGGATTTGGATGGATTGATACGAAAAGAAAAAGAAAAATACAATTTAAGACGTCTATTATCCTCTAACCTTCCCTTTTCTCCTCGTTGTCCTCGGTGTCACTCGATGGGGCCCTTCGACGATAGCGGCGACGGTTGCAGATCGTACTTCTTCACGTTAGCTGCCTTACAGCGGTCCTTGGCGTTTAGCGGGGGGGATGAGCAAGGCTCCTTTATCGGAACCCCCTCGGCGACGATGGTGACGAATCACCGGACCAACTACTCGCCGTAGATGGTCCCGGTAGTCACCGCAGTGCACTACCCAGGCGAACGCTCCTTCGGTTCTGCCTGCTTCGTCCCTCCTTGGCTCTTAACTGCGGTGGCGAGACTGGCTCTACTGGCTGAGCCACCGCAGTGAGGACGGTGGGTGTTCGGGGATCCTTGGGGTTTAGCCGGGAAGCGGAAAAATCCTCGAAATTTAGCTTCCCTTGGCGGCGATCCGACACCCTTCACTGAAGCTCACGAACCACGGCACTTTTCGGGGAAACGACGTCACTTCCACGCGACGGTGCTGGGAATTATCCCTCCAGCGGACACACGCCACGAAAACGGCACTCCAACTTTTCGTTTTTCACTTCAAACAGACGGGGCAAAAAACGCGTCGATTTCCTACCGTGGCTCGTAACTTTCTCTCGCTGTACTACTTGACAATCACGGACCATACAACAACCGCCATCGTTCTCCTGCAACCGCGCTCGAATGTTGTGCTGGTTATGTTTTTCGCCTTGTTTTGCAGCGGGAGGAGAAACGGGACCTAACTTCATTCTACACGCGAGACAATTTTAAACGATAATTTT